AATTCTTTTTTTTTAATTAGTGGACACCATGAGGTATTGGAGGCCAGCCACACATGCTAGGGGAAAAGGGAGCTCAGATAGAGAAGGGAGCACCAAATAAAGGGTGCTGGGAGGATCCTCCCAGGATGGGAGAAGCATGCTGAAAGTAGATTATAGACCGAACATGATTGCCACTCATTGCCTCTTTTGCAGACCACAACACCCAATAGGAGAGAGAGAACAAAAGTGACTACTATTTCTTTTAGGAGGTTATAAAAATGCTCTGAGTAAGATAGAAGCGATGGGTAGTATAGTCTATGAATATGTGAAAACATTGATGTATTGTACACTTTTATTGTTCTGAGTTGTTTGCTTGGGGGAAAAATCTGGCAGAGTTCAATAGTTACTCCTGGCTTGGTGTTCAGAAGCCACTCATGGTGCTGTACCAGGGATCAAACCTGGGTCTTCTGCATGCTGAGCATCACTCCAGCCCACTGCGCTGAGCTTTCTCTCCAACCAAGTGTTCACTTTCAAAAGGTGAACTTTATAATGTGAATATATCTCAAATTTTAAGACAAATAAATGTAAAAAAGCCTCCAAATTCGACACAATCAAAAAAAAAAGTATGTAGTATATATCAGATGTTTAAGAAATTTTTTTTTAAAATTACTCCTTGGATCATTCAAAGTTTCTCCGAGTATTTTTCAAGTGTGTGTAACTCTGTTTAGCTGGGAAAACAGCTCCACCTGCTTTCAGCATTGTGAAAGGAGTAATAAGTAATGGAAACCTCCCTCACTCATTATAGGTCTTTTCCCTAATAAAATAGTTCTCACCATATTGTGTAATTACTGAAGGCTGTCTTGAGAGTCTCTAAGGCATTTGTCTAACTAAAGCTGGTGGCACTAGAAACAGCAACAGGCTTATTGGGTGGAAGGATATATGGAACAACTTCCTTCTTGACTGAGGACTTTACAGGCTACTCATACAGCAAAACTCAGTAAAATGTACTTAGTAAAGAAACACTGTATCACTGTCATCCTGTTGTTCCTCAATTAACCTGAGTGGGTGCCAGTAATGTCTCTATTCCTCCCAGTCCTGAGATTTTAGCAGCCTCTCCTTACTTGTCTTTCCCAATGATTGGAGTCTTCTTCAGGGTCGGGGGAATGAGACCTGTTACCGTTACTGTTTTTGGCATATCGAATATGCCACAGGGAGCTTGCCAGGCTCTGCTTGTGCATGCGGGATACTCTCGGTAGCTTCCTAGGCTCTCTGAGAGGCATATATATATGATGTATAATATATAATAATATATATTAAAATATATTTTTTCTAAGCTCAGAAATATATATATTTCTCTCTATGATTTGTTGCCTACTATGATTTGATGCTTCATTCTTAGTAAAGAATAATAATATCAATTTATACTTTATAAGATTGCAGCTCTTGTACCAAGCAGAAAACTCATTTTCTGATTCAGGGAGAATCACGGTGACAATACTAGACAATTCAAGACAATTTTTTAATATCTGCATATAAAATCTCCAGTTCAAGGTGAACCCTTGCAGCCGTGACCAGCCTGCAACAATTCCTACAAGAGTGTTATGACCTATCACCTCCCAGACACTGCAAGACTCAAATAGCTGAATAATATATACAATTTCAAATATTTATAAGATAAATATAAAATTATATAATTTAAAGTATTATACTTAATTATATTATATATTTTAAACTTAACATTATATATTATATATTATGTATATAAAGTATTTAAATTTAATCTAAATACTTAACTTTAAATTTAGTATTTAATTTATATATTTAAATTACAAATGCTCAGGACTAAATAAAGTACAAATTAGTGACTATCAAAAGGAAATCAGGAAAGATGAGTGAATAAATCATGAAAAAGAAATCAGTCACATGAATGTGAAGGAAGGAACTGAACTTTTCATGGTTAACTCAATGTAATATAGATGCATGCTGGTTTATGATGCACATCTCAAAATTATAGTAATTGCATTGCTATAATGCAATTATTTCAATAAAAATTAATTCAATATACTTCTCCCCCCCCCACTGGGGGACCCTCCTCAGCAATTTTTGACCAACTGAAGCAGTGGTTCAATGTGAGGGTCTCAAGGTGTTTTGATGGTCAACAGGTCCTAATTTGCTGGAGATGACCTGGGCCACTGAAAATATATGGGGGCTCCAAGACCGCATCCTCTGGTGCTCAGGGGTCCATAGTGTGCTGGGGATCAAGTCAGGGTGTCTGCATGCAAGTACAGCTTTAAGCCCTGTGTTATCTTTCTGGCTCAAAATAAAAATTTTAATAAACAGAGCTACCCTTATGTGAGGTTTTCCCATTCTCTAGTTTCCTGCTTTTGCTTTATTCCCTTCTTTAAAAAAAACTAATTTACTTTTTAACATGGGCTGGAGCAATAGCACAGCGGGCAGGGTGTTTGCCTTGCATGCAGCCAACATGGCCAACCTGAGTTTGATTCCTCTGCCCCTCTCGAGAGCCAGGCAAGCTACCGAGAGTATCTTGCCCGCATGGCAAAGCCTGGCAAGCTACCCGTATTCGATATGCCAAACACAGTAACAAGTCTCACAATGTTACTGGGCCCGAGCAAATCGATGAACAACAGGAAGACAGTGACAGTGACTTTTTACCATAGGAATAAAAGCTGATTTTCTTTAGACTATATGTAAAGAATAATGCAAGAGCTTGCGAATACACTGCAGGAAAATGAACACACCACTAAAGAAGTTACACTGTTTTAAAAGCACCTCTTTCTGTGAGCTTTCATGACTTCCATTTTTGGTTAGGTGCAAGTTTCCGGGGTGCTAATTTTCTAGCTATTGGGTGCCCAAAGTTCATTAAGTGCAAAATAAACTCTAAGATGTCATTTCTTTTCTAATGTTACATTGATTTAACGAGGAAGTTATATGAACTTTTTATCTTTAAAAATATTTCTTTCCAAATACACCAAATGTTTTTAGAGAAAGATACTTGAAACATTAAATTTTAAAATGTTAAATTTATGGTGTTCTATCAGAACTCATTATGTAAAGAAATCATAAAGTAAATATTTAAATAAACATTTAAATACTCAGAACTAAATGGTAAATTCCATTTTATTGATAGGGTTTCCTTAAAAAGGAGAGAGGCCTCGGGGCTGGAGAGATAGCACAGTGGGTAAGGCGTTTGCCTTGCATGTGGCCGACCCAGGTTCGATTCCCAGCATCCCATCCCATATGGTCCCCTGAGCACGGCCAGGAGTAACTCCTGAGTGCAGAACCAGGAGTAACCCCTGTGCATCTCCAGGTGTGACCCAAAAAGCAAAGAAAAAAAAGAGGGGTCTCTTCCTTTAGATCTTCTTCTTAATTGAAAAGAACCATGAAAGTCTTTCTTATATACTGACACAGGCAGAGATTCAGAGATATTACAAACCCTTAAATCACAACATAATATCGTAACTCTTCTTGGGGTGAAGAGACTTTGGAGTCATATCTAGTGATGCTCAAATAGTTATTACTGGCTCTGTGCTCAGGAGTGATCCTTGAGAGTGCTTAGGAGACCATAAGTAGTGTCAGAGATTCAAATCAGGATTGGCGGAGGCACGGTCAGTGCCTTAATCCCTGTTTTATCTTTCCAGCCCCACACATGACTTCTTTTGCACTGTTATTTATTAATCAAGCCCATCCATGTGGAAATGTCCCTTAACAATATCTAATCAGCTCACAGTCTAGCAAATAATTTGATTCTGGCTTTCAACTGGTATCTCCACTCTTGCAAAAGGCCTCATTGGGGTGTATTTATAATGTTAAGTACATATTCTCCCTATATAAATGAGAATAAATATATCTTTACACGAAGATATTAGTTCTTTTTCTATTCCAAAAGAAAATCCCAACACTGCACCTTTTTACAATAGAAACCAACCATAATTCTATACAACTTCATTTTCTTTATGATAAAACTTCTATTTTAAAAGTAATAAACCCAAATGCTGTGTATTTTGAGGGGTGAGAGATTAAAACTATGCTTGTGTGTATCCTAATTTAAAGTCAAGAAACAGTAAACTGCATGGCCAGAGTGACAGAACAGTGGGCAGGCATTTCCCTTGCACGAGGTCAACCCAGGTTCAATCCCTGGCACCCCAGATGGTCCCCCGAGTCAACCAGGAGTGATCCCTGGGCACAAAGCCCAGTGTAAGACCTGAGCACACCCGGTGTGGCTCAACCCCTCTCCTAACCAAAAAATAAAAAGAAAAAAGAAAAGGGAAAAAAAGGAAAACGAAACAGTAATGCTCTTATAATTTTTTATCTCTCCTTTCTCTGCACCTGCTTTAAAAAGTGCTTTTCTTCCCCCCCTTTTTTTTCCAACGTTAAAAGACAAACTTTTTGTTGGTGGTTTCAACACATTTTGCAGCTGCAGTGGTTGTGCTCAAGGCGTACTCCTGCCTCTAAGCTCAGGGCTCACTCCTAGAAGGGCTTGTGTGTGTGTGTGTGTGTGGGGGGGGGGGGGGGGTTGATCGTCCATGTAGGTGACACAGGATTAAATGAAAGAATCTTAAAACTTGGACTATTTTCCCAGCCCCCAGCATACATATTTTGAGCTGTCACTGTCACTGTCACTATCCTCCTGTTCATCGATTTGCTCGAGCAGGCCCAGTAACGTCTCCATTGTGACACTTGTTACTGTGTTTGACATAATGAATACGTCACGGGTAGCTTGCCAGGCTTTGCCGTGCGGGCAAGATACTCTTGGTAGCTTGCCGAGCTCTCCTAGAGGGGCAGAGGAATCGAACCCGAGTCGTCCAGGTTGACCGTGTGCAAAGCAAACACCCTACCCGCTGTGCTATTGCTCCAGCCTATTTTGAGCTATTGCTGAAGAAATATTTGAAACTTGTTATGCTTTAAAAAGAAGAGTACATTTAAAAATTTTAAAAGCAAATAAAAATTTCAAGGCAGGTTTCTACATCTTTGTTAATTGTGACTATTTCGTCTGTTTACAGGAGGTCTATTTCTCCACTGTAGAGTGTGGATACAAGTATCCCCATGGATTCACTTTCTGCCAGGCCATTTTTTGTTGGTTCGAACATGTTCATAAGCAATTAGTTTTATGCCTTCCAGAAAAAAATGGAACCAAATACCCATGGCATTGCACAAATGTCTGTGCATGGACTCTAGTATTCCACCTCCCTTCCTGAATCACTTTTTTTGTGTGTGCCATGACCATTTTGTTGGATGTACTATTCCTTTATAAGACTCTAATTTATCAGGAATATAGGGGTCAATGGTGAGCAGTGACAAGCATATTTCATGTAAATTCAAAAGGACTTGGAGACCAACCACCTTTCATTTCTTACTACCTCTTGCCAATCTATCGCAGTTCTTCACAATGTACTGATGACTGTTTTTATTGGTGTCAGATCAATGTATCCCTGGATCCCTGCTTTTATGGTAGGCTGTATCCATTGATAAAGTCAATAGGATAAAATTAGAAGTGGATATTCATTTGGCATCTCCTATCTTTTAGCCTTAGAGAACTAGTAAGTCATTTTCTATTGTGGTCCCTAAATTACTTTAACTATTTAATAGTTAAATTTATATGGACAAGGATACCTGTGGTCTAAGGGCAAAGGATACAACATTGATAAATAACCTGATATTACGGGAGTGTATAAATATATAAAGAGAGCATAGTAGCACTGCACTGTCCTTCCATTGTTCATGGATTTGCTCAATGCAGAAACCAGTAATGTTTTCATTGTGAGACTTGTTGTTACTGTTTTTGGCATATTGAATACACCATGGGTAGCTTGCCAGGTTCTGCCGTGTGGCTGGGATACTCTCGGTAGCTTGCTGGGCTCTCTGAGAGAGACGGAGGAATCGAAACCGGGTCAGCCACGTGCAAGGCAAACACCCTACCCGCTGTGCTATCACTCCAGCCCATGCTAGTAATAAATTTATAGTATCAACTTTCAGAAATTTCAGAAAAAAAGTGATTAAGAAAAAAGAAAAGAGTAGGGGCCAGATAAGTAGTATAGGAATTTATTAAGGTGTTTGTCTTTCCTGTGGTCAACCCTGGTTCCATCCCAGCACCACATATGGTCCTCCTAGCACCATCGGAGTCACTCCTGAGCTCAAAGCCAGGAGTACTCAATGATCATTGCTTGGACCCTAAAACAAAACAACAAAAAGCAACAAAAACAAAAACAAAGTAATGTCAAACATATGTGCATTTGCACAGACACATACATGTAAACGTATGCATAATATTCCTATTTTTTTTTTAATGAACTTGGTTCTCAGTAATCCTGTGAAGACAGTGAGGTCATAGTCTTTGCAGTTTAAAGAGAAAACGGAGGTCTAAAGTGATTTGCAGAAGGCCAGATGGTTAGTAAGTAGTGACAAGATGGTAACTGGGTCTCTTGGTTCCCAGACCAGTGTGTTTGTTTAGTTAATCTATCTGCAATATGTGTTGAGGCTTGGGAGACAACATTACCATCAGCTCTATTTCAAAAGGGCAACTAAAAAAAAAAAGAGAAATAAGGCAATGTACTCAGTCTATTATTTTACGACACTCTCCAGATTCTTTACCTATTGAATATTTCATGAACATGAAGACCCCCTTAATTGCTTCATTCCTGCCCCAAATTCAAAGACAATTTCACCCTGAAGCTTTTGTAGTATGAGGTGATTAAAAAATAACATCTGCAACAAACTTTTAATTAAATGCTCAGGGTCAAACATTTGAAAGCTTATTTTCATTAGAGTGAGTTGACTATTGACTCTCCTTTTAAAATTGTAATACTTTTCTACATACACCTATATTATAGCCACTAAGGAAGCAAGAACTTCCAACTCCTTTACTTCAGAGAAGGAAGAATCAAGGAATTCTGTGAACTTTCTGTTTTTCATTGGTCTACTGAGCTGGAGCAATAGCACAGCGGTGCTTTTGCTCCAGAAAAATGCAATTTGTCTTGCATGCGGCTGACTCGGCCGACCCGGGTTCGATTTCTCTGCCCCTCTCGGACAGTCCAGCAAGCTACAGAGAGTATCTTGCCCACACGGCAAAGCCTGGCAAGCTACCTGTGACGAATTCGATATGCCAAACACAGCAACAACAAGTCTCACAATGGAGACATTACTGGACCTGCTCGAGCAAACTGATGAACAATGGGAGGACAGTGCTACAGTGCATTACAAAGCAATGCCACTCACCTTCGGTAGAGATGGTTAGGATGATATGGCACTGCAGTAGAAGTGAGATGTTATTAGCCCAGTGCAACTCAGGCAGGGACTAAAGACACTGTGTGCTGGTCCATACTGAGACACAGAAAATGAAAGCAAGTGTTTGGAAACTCATAGCAATTTCACAGGATTAGTTTTATATGTGTTGTACACAATAATAAAAAGTAGGTGGCATTTCACATTCTTTTCATTTCACTTTTATAGCTATTTATTTGATTGCATCTAATAGAAGTATTTGATCCACAACAAATTGGAAAAGGCATAAAGGAACTGTAACATTCCCACAGAGTTGTGGGAGGTCATGAGTGTTCAGAACTACTGTGCCAGGCAACTCCAATCTTCTGAGTCAGGATATTTGTGGGAAATAAATTTATTCCTCAGATCATCAAAGATTGCTACATCTCACTGCAAGAGCAAAAATTAAACACTGCCATATCTCTGTAACAACTACCTACATTTTGGATTATCTATTATCTGGTGATTCTCTAACTCTGGTATGCATGGATAATGAGAAGCAAATGACCCAGAAATGAATCAATTCAGATATCATTAATGTATAAGATAAGAAGTTTAAGTAAACCTAAGGAATCCTATCTGAATCCTGAAATTTAAAAATAAACGAACTCTTCCATAGCAATGATGCTGACTGAAACCAGCCAGGCGGAGAAAAGGAATGGCTCTCCCTGGCCTCCCTCTCCTTTTTTTGGTAGCAGAGGTGAAATGAGCAGGTGGTTTCAGTTCAGTTCCTCATTTATAAACTGGCTTCATGAAAATACACATAAAAAGGCACTTGTCTGGCAGTCTCAGAAGAGGGGCTAAGGACTGACCGGACATGAGACACAATTACCCTCTCACCCTCAAAGGAAGTCCCACAGGTTCAGGGTGAGGAGTATGTGCAGGTCAGGATGAAAAACTCCAGCACAGCTGCTGCCTAAGTGGGGAGGGTCTGAGGGAGAGAGGGAAGATTTTCATTTCCAGATTACTTTTTGTTGTTATTGTTTTACCAGCACTAAAACTAACTTAAGAAAATTCTGGTGCTGGAGCTATAGCACAGCAGGTTGAGGGTTTGCCTTTCACGCGGCCAACCAGGGTTCGATTCCCAGCATCCCATATGGTCCCAGAGCACCACCAGGAATTAATTCCCCTTTACATCGTCAGGTCTGAATGAAAAAGTAAAAATAAGAACAATTCATGACCTGATTATCATGTATATAGGTTCTTTTATCCTTTATGTTCTTTCAAATTGTTGAATCTTTTAAAGAGGCATTTAAGTATCACCTTTTGAAAGTTATAATTAAAGAAAAAACTATTAGAAAAAATTAATATCAAGTTAAAAAGTAATGAATTAGATATAAGTGAATTTGATTCACATGATATTTTGTCGCATGTATATATTTTGGCAGACAATGTATTTCAGTACAAATAGAGGCTGTTTCCTGTTCTCAGAGGGTTTCCTGGGCATTTGGGACAATGTGGACTCCCTCTAGTGGCCAAAGTAATACACATAAATTCTCAGGTTTGTTGTAATCTTTTTTCAGAAAATAATTATCTTAATGTACAATTTCTTTATGAAAAAATTTATATGACTTAATTATACATAAAGCAAAGAAATAAAATCAGGTATTTTCTTTTTATCTAATTGTAAATTGTAAATGTTTTAGTTATATCTTATAACTTCTGTGACCCACACTCTTCTGAATTTGTAATAGTAAATATTCAGAACCAAGAAATCTCCTTTATCACATTTATTTATAGGGTTGTGATTATTCTTTACCAATATTAGTGTTTATAATAATTTAAGGGACTGAATTTTCATAGGCAAATTATTCCCAAAGCAGGTATCAGGTCATAAAACAGAGCCATTATATTAGAATGCGTAGAATGGAGGCTTTTTTTAACATGACGAGTATGCGCCCTTTAAAGTAAAATTATAGATACTAAAATATTAGAATAAAAGTTCTAGCTATAGGAAATAAATAGGTGGAAATTCTATAAAATAAAAAGCAAAAAAATCATATATAAATTATTATTTTTTACCACCTAATCCTCAGGCCTTGCTTTAAAGATGAAAATAAAAAACTGGAATTGAAAAGCTCATGATCATTGAATTGGGAAGTTCACAGAAGAGGAAGTTGAAATCTGATTCCCCCGAGGAATAGTTATTTTGGACAGATTATATTTGATGGAGGAGAAAAAGACCTAGATTTGTCAATGTTCTTCCCTAAAGTTTTTTTTTATCTTAGCATGGGCAGTGATTATAAAGTATTTAGGCTGATTTCCACATGGAAAAGTCTCATTTCTTAAACATAGCACTTACATCTTTTTTACATTTTTTTGATTATTTAAGCACTCTCAAAAGCATTTGTTAACTGACAGAACAAGCTCCAAGGGAATTCCTTTTATGGCATGAAAATGAGAAATTAATAATTCATAATAACAATAATGTATGCGTATTCCTGTTCCTAATGCTCTCCTAGTTACTAAGGATTTGAGACATTTTTTATAAAAATTTCTGAAAACTAACCACCCAAATTTAACTCACACAGAAAAAAAAAACTATTGCTTTAGTTTCTTGGAAGATGAAGGAAATTGAAAACACATAAATCTTTTTGAAAAAATTTGAATAATAATAGAAGAAAATTAAGAATACTTTTCACAATTGTCTATTAAGCAGCAGATCCTGTACTGGATGTTGGATTATCCATTATAACGTCCTTCTGAGAGTTTTGGCATTTGACTTGGACTATTAAAATTTAATTAAAATTAATTAAAATATCATTATAATTATAGCTATTAACTATTGTACAACGTATACTCATACAAGTATAGTCTTAGGTTGCCAATTCATGGAGAAGGACAT